TGCAGCGCGCGAGGGGAGGGCGCACTGCCCGGGTCTGCAGCGCGCGAGGGGAGGGCGCACTGCCCGGGGTCTGCAGCGCGCGAGGGGAGGGCGCTACATTAGGTAGGTGGGGGGGGGGATGTGCGCACTCCCCAGGGGCTACAGTAGGTGAGGAAAGAGAGAGGGCTCCAGCCGCCTACAGTTCATGTCAATATTTTATAATATGTCTTTGTTGTAAATGTCTGTAACATGTCTGTAGATTTTATTTTACTTCTATTTTTTGTTTTGTTCCACGTTAAGTTTATTATTTTTATTTGCTGTGGCAACACTGATTGTACCCATCGGTCATGCTAATAAAGCACCTTGAATTGAATTGAATTGAGAGGGGCGCACACTCACCAGGTAAAGGTTGTCTCGGTCTTGGAAGGCGTGCTGGAGCTCTGGGACCCAGGGGCTGTGGTTGCGCGCCAGGATTGCTCGCTCCTCTTCGTAAAGCGCCACCTGGCAGGAGGACAGATGAGCTTGGGGGGTTTCGTTCATCCGTTCTCTCTGCCCTGCAGAGGGCCTTCTCCTCCGGGAGAGACCACGCACAGCAGGTCCCCCACAGAGCCTCTGAAACACCTGGACTCACATCACTGATGTTGTCCAACTAATAACAACCAGACCGATATAATTACAGCAAACAAAACTGCACGTCAAAGCGTACAGGCCAAATGCAGCTGTTTGTTTTGACAAGTAGATAGATATATAATACTTTATTAATCCCGTAGGGAAATTGATGAAAGTAGGAAGTAAGCGCTGGCTATATATTTTCGAACAGGCTATATTTATCATAACTATAAAATAACTCCCTTGATTCTCAGCTTGTTCTAGTAAAAATAGTGAACCAGTAAAAAACGATGAACAGTTACTATAGTTACTACTGTATATAAAACAGTGACAGAGAAACACTGAATTGTTCCTTTCTGTTAGTGTAAAGGAGAAAGCCTATGAGGCTTTGAGTGGGATGGTGCTGGAAGGTGTCATCAGGGCAGATGACAGCTGAATGATCCAACGAGCGCACCAGAGTGCTAACACGATCAGGCCAGTGGTTACGTGCCATACAGGATTTTCTCAGGAAGCCCCTGTAAAAACAGGGGTGTCCATTCCTGGTACTGACTTTGGAGGGCTGTAATTCTCCCAGGAACAAGGGAGAGCAGCTAAAATGATCAGATTAAGTGAGTAATTAGTGGATCTGGGCAAGGAAGAGCTGGTCTGGATTGAAGACCTTCAGACACACCAGCCCCGCTAGATCATGACTGGACACTCCAGCTGCTACTGCAGGGGCATTCGGAATCCATCTGTCCGCACTCGTGCCAGGGCAGGTCTTCGGCCAGCTACCCTGTCCGCTGGGCAGCGCCGATTCGATGACCAAAGAACCAGACGGGACAAGGCGTGTCAGTGCCTTACATCTTCCAGGGCGCGCAGGCGGCTCTTGCTCATGACTTTCATGGCGTAAACGTCGCCCGTGGTCCGCTCCCCGACCACCTGCACTTCAGCGGAGCGCCCGCGCCCCACCACGCCGCGCACCTCGAAATCCCGCGCCCTGGGCTGGAGCTCCCGCAGCTCCGACACGGCCTCCGAGTCTGCAGGGGGGGAGACAGCACAGCGCCCCCAGGTCAGCTGGGCATTCGGAAGCGAGGATACAACACAAAGAAAAAGCAATTACGAGAGAATATTTCTGTCCTGCCCTACTTTTAAAAATATCAATTAGCACTGAATACTTTTAATGACGCTACCCTGACGGCAGGAGAGACGAGCACGTGAGTGTGCTCCTCACAGAGGTACATCTCGAGCTTTCACAGGGAGATTACAGTCCTGCAATACTCCTGTTAAAAGGAAGACAATGCTGATTTATAACTCAAACAAACCACACTTTTTAAAGTGAGTTCAAGTAGGGAGCTGCAACAGCACGCGCAGGCTGCAAAGGAACAAGTAAAGGTTTATTCCCTGATGGAAAAAGAGAAGAAAATCACACCTGCAGAAGGCTCCACAGCCGAAACATTGTGCTTCTTTTCTGCTCTCTTCAGAATGGAATAAACCTTTACTTGTTCCTTTTAAAGCCACTTCTCACTTCAAAGGTGGTAACTAACTGCGAGATAAATGTTTATTTATTATTTTCTATGCTGTTTATCGGCAGGCACGTCAACGTGACTGAAACCGTGCCAGAGACAGGCTCCCCTGCGCACACTGTCAGGCCCGGCTCGGCTCCTGGCGCGCTGCTCTTACACTTGCTGACGAAGTTTGCCACATGCTGGATTTTCAGGAGCTCCGGGGAGCTGCACTCGTCGAACAGGGCCAAGAGGGAGTCCAGCAGCCCCTCTCGGCTTAGGGCGGGGGCCAGGAAGCAGCTCTTCCCCTGTGGAGAGAGAAGTGGGGGGGAGGGAGGACACACGGCACGTGAACAGAAGGAATCCAGCGGAGATCCACCCACAGAACAGCAGCCTGTCACACACTTGAGTCCAGGTCTGGGCTAGCAGACGCTGCTGTGCAGAGAGCTCAGACTCTCTTCTCTCCTCCACTCATGTATGAGGCAGCTGATTTTCAGCTAGAACAGTTAATCCTGATAGGTCTGTATTCTGCTGCACGGCAGTAACTTTATGAGAATGTGGACAGGAATAACGATGTGAGTGGACTAGTGCCGGACAATGACTCACTTACATCCGTTGGGAAAATGTGATGGATTAGCTGCTACGACACCTTCTACTGGTTGCTCGTGTGCAGGATACTTAGAGACGCCCCGATCGTTTTTTTAATCCTGTGGCCAATGTGAATGAAGGTTTGCTCAACGCCAAACTGAGTTCCTTCTCACCCAGGCTAATCTGTATTAATAAAGCTATCACAGTAGTTAATGCTTTTAGAGGTTTCAAGTAAATCGTTGATGCTTGTAACATACAGCCAGCGCCAACTACTGATTTTATCATGGATATGCAAGACTTGTGCACAGCAGGAGTGTATTAGTCACAATGGACAAGCTGGGTGGGTTTTCATTCACAGCTCTACAGTCTTCTAGTCTGGTTCTGAAGCAGCCTGGGCCGTCTCAGCATCAGACTGACAGGGAGATCAGATCAGCACTCCTGCCCTCCCC